ATGAATGTTTGAATTATATATTGTGTGCATGATATCAAATGGTTGATTATGAATCGAGATTCAATTTATGTGGATGTTCGACGCTTTAGATATGCTTACTCAGCTTCACCGCTGAGCGTGTAGTGTGTTTTATTTGCTACACGCAGGTAGGCAGAATGAATGATTGGCTGATTCCTGGCAACAGAAGGGGCGAGACAGTCGTGGTAGGTTACTGAATGAAATAAATAATTATGTTGTTATGAGACATATTTTAAAGTCGCTTCCGCATTTTATTTAAACACTCCGTATTTCTCTACAATTATGTATGGAATATTATTTATAAATAAAAATGTTTGAAATGTTTTAAATTATCACGATTACCAAATCAATACTTTAGTCCGAAAGGGGCTGCAGACCTGAACGGATTAGGGTGTTACATGGTGAGACCCCTAGCAGAAGTAAGTTTGAGCAGACGCTTCTCCAGATAGCGTTAAAAAATCAAGAAGCTTACAACTGGTTTATGGGGATTCCAAAACAGATGTGGGCATTGTCTCATAACGATGGTGGCTCACGCTATGATATAACAACCACAAATTTGTCAGAAAGCTTCAATAATATACTTAAGGGATGTCGTTGTTTACTCGCTTATGCCATTGTGAGGTTATCCTATGATAAATTGGTCAAGCTGTTTGCTGATAGGCGAACAAATGGATATCTGTGACAACAATTCAGGCATAATTTTCATATGAATGTGTGGAAAAATATCAAGAAAATTGAAGAAAATAGGTTTTATTGTCGTGTTGTGCAGCACCACGCACAGCAGGGAATATACTCTTTAGTGGTGGATTGATCCTCCATCATTGGTCATCGCGAGACTTTTGCGGTGAACTTAAATTCACGAACATGTAGCTGTGGAGAATGGGTAACATATCAAATTCTGTGCATTCATGTCCACGCAGTATGTCATCACTGTAGTGTCACCGTGAATCATTCAATTCCTAATGTTTTTTCAATCCATTCCTACATCAACGCTTTTCTGGTGGATGAGGCCGGATGGCCTACTCCAGGGTACGAGATAGTGAGACCAACTGCACGAGCGAGGACACCAACCGGTAAACCTACGAGAACTCACTATCCGAATAACATGGACTACCGACCACGGAGACGTCGCAACGAGCAATAGCTATATCATGAATTTCAATTATGTCTAAGTTTATGTTTTATGAATTTCACAAAATAAATTAGTTATGGAATGTGTTTTGTAACCTTATTTTTTGAATAAATTATATGTACTCTATCAATAAATTTGTTGTAATTTGTTTCTTATTTTAATTTCGGTGTATGATGCTTTGTAGAAATTTTGATGTATTTTTTTAAATATCTAAATTTTATTTTTATTTATATATTAATCTTTAAGAAAAATGAGTTGAAAAAACTTAAGATTTTACTTCGTTTTGCATAAAAGTTTTTCTTCATATGTGTAAACTGAATATGAGAAATTGATTACAATAATAATAATAATAATAGAAACGGAGTAGCCTATTCCGTCTGGTAAATTGAATATGTGAAACGGAATAGCCTACTCCGTCTACCTAAATATTTCAAATGAAGCGGAGTAAGCTACTCCAGTGTGCTTTATATGAGAAAGTAAATGTTCGAGTTACATATAAAGAGAATAGATACACCAACTTTACACATGCATGGAAATCACCCTCAATTTTGAGTATTTAGTCACATATAACTTACTCTAACATTCATTTATAACGTCAATATTAGCACACTTTAAAACTATGTAATTCAAATCCTTAATCCTGAATTATCAACTTTGTTCAATGATACTCGCTCAGTCCAAAAGCTTTCTTCCCATTTTTCAATTTTGGGTCGTCCAATTTTTTTCCCATTTCTTATACTGACAGATAAATTTATGTTAAATGTCATATTTACCCTTCAATTATTTTGTAAACTTATCGTTTCTTGTTCACCCAACTCTGTCATCTTCCAACCACTGGCCTTCAATCCCGATATTCCTCTTCCAACTTTTGAATAAACTTTCTGATTTCTCGGAAATTCAATTAAGGCATGTTGAGTCTTCTCATTTTTTGTGATGTCTCTTGCTTTCATCGAACAAAAGCAAATAATTTATTTTCAATTACAGTTGTTGCTCAGGCCTTGCTTCTGCCATCTCTACCTATTTTTCCCTTTATTTATGGAGGCTTTGATGGTGGTTCAGAAGGAAGAGTGTTGTATGGTTTTAGTTGACAAGTATTTTAGAAAAGTTAACACCATTTGATCTATCATAAACATTCACGCCAATTTAGAGCGAGGAAAAAAAAATAGAAAAATGCTAGGGGTACACCAAATGTGTACCCCATTTGTCCCCCACCCCCTTCTTATCCACAAAAAAAACAAGAAATTCAAAATAAATAAATAAATAAATAAAAATAAAATAAAAATGTGTGGTAAAAAAAGAGGTAGTGTACATTTGGGGTACACCTTTGGTGTACCCCTAGCATTGCTCAAAAATATAGTGTAAAACGGGAGTATTATATTTTACGTTCTAATTTAAATTGCATGTTTACTATTCATATGATCAAACTTTATTCATTTTTTTTCTCTATTTTCGTGAGACATTTGATAAAATAAATTAATACTCCGTATAATCATATCACCAGTAATTTTGTAAATCTTTTGATCTAATTTTTAAATATATAATTTTATTTTTTTATTCTACATCATTTTTCATATAAAATGATTTGAAAATAATTTCGGTCAGATATCGTAAATCAAAACAAATCATATAAATTGGGATAGAGGAAGTAATTCACTTTTGGGCGAACAATAAATATTTTTGAGCTGATATAATTTACCGAACTTTGGGGTGAACGTTGAATATTGATGAGGTGATATGATCTATTGATTTAGACCATCTCCCACGTTCGGCAAATCCTCAATTTTGTTGTTGTGCTTTACTCCAACGGTGTTTTATAACTCATCCCAAAATGACTTTTTCACTTCAAAAATGCAAAAATGCATTGTTGTATAGGGTATTGCGTTTAGGGGTGGACAAACGGGTCAAGGAACTGGGAGTCGGAACCGAACTGCTAGGTTCGGTTTGAGTTAGGAGCGGGTCCTCTTTTCAAAAATTTATAACGGTCTGAGTCGATCTGGTCCTTATAGATTTCAGAGTCGGTCTGGTTCCCCATTTTGAAATTGTATTGGACCCGGACCGGACCGTTTTTTAATACCCTAGTATTATTTTTAGTAAATACACCGACCTTAGATTTACGATCGAGTTACACCCTTCAATCTTTTGCAGTAGTCAGAGAGTCGGAAGTCACCAAACAGTTTGTTATTGTTGTTGGATGATCGTGGGGTGTACACTTTACTCTCATGCCCCTATTTGCCATTGTTATGTCTTCATTTCACCGTCTTTTTTGTGTTGGATGACTTAAAATTGACAATAGGGAAGTACATTGTTGTGAACAAATGGTGAATGGCCATGTATGTATTACTACCTCCGTCCCATTGTCTTTGTCCACATTTGACTTTTGGAACTGTTCATCTAAGCACTTTGACTCATCAAATTCTCTTAATGTGTAAGCCTAAAAAGAGTCATGTGTGATCTTGTTTGATTCCTCTTAACGTATAGATTATTAATATATAATTTTTATAATTTTTTAATATACAAATTACAAGATAAAATGGATTAAAGAAGTGCATTGGATGGTGTGCCAAAAGATAAGTGGACAAACACAGTGGGACGGAGGGAGTATTAATTTATTATCACCTTATTATTTTAATATTAGTATCATGATAGGTTTGGACCCGTTGACTCGTGGAATCGGCCCGTTTCAAACAAGCCGGATTAGGTCCCGTTTCAATTTTAAAATTTTGAAAACTCGTTCTGGCCCAGACCGTTTTAATAAAAACAAGTCGAGTCCAGTTTATACAAATCTTGGCTCGGACCGGCCCGTGCCCACCCCTAATTGCGTTAGTAGGCGTTACGCAGTTGGCAAAAGCAAGAAATACCAAGTACGTAAGACTTGAATTCGATTTCTAACTACGCTAAGAGCCTAATATGTGAATCATGTGGTCTTTGAAAATAGCAGGTAAAAGTTCTACTATTTGCCACCAATCTCAAATCAAGATCAAATTTACTCTCTCCGTGACCATTCGGCCATATCTGAAAAGATCGTCAGAAATGAGGCTCATCCTTTTTAATATAAGGTATTGCATTTTTTTTCTCTAGTAATGTTTTGTGGCTCAAATTGTTTTACGAAGCCTACTATTTTTTTTAATTTTCGAAGAATAAAATGTAATATGAAAAGATATACTACCTCCGTCCCAAATTATAATGTTTGTTCATTATTCACATAATCAAACTTCATTCACTTTTTTTCTCAATTTTCATTAGCAATTTGATAAAATAAATTACTATTATCACTACTAGTTTTGTAGATCTTTTTATGTAGTTTTTTAATATGTAATTTTTATTATTTAACTATATACCATTTGTCATATAAAATGATTTGAAAATAATTTCTGTCAAATATCGTAAACCAGAACATGCATTATAAAATGGGATAGAAGGAGTATACTGTAAGAATATTTTTTTGAGTGAGTTTGCTGCAATATACTGGAAATGAATTACTTAGTGTTTGATTTGACATTTATTGCATTTTAGATTTAAGTTTTGGTTTAGATGGTTTTAGTGGAAAAGATTACTCCAACTAGTGGTGGATTATTATTCTATGGAGTACCACAGGGCAAGTGGTTAGAAGGCATCATGGTTTCAATGAAAAAAAGGCAGAAACGAAACTAAGTGTGTTCTTGAATCCTCCGCCAGTATAGTAGTAGTGTCTTGAAAAAAGTATACTGCGATAATCACCGCGAATTCAGCACGTGCTTACCTAAAAGGGTTATGAATAAAATTGACATTTTGAGTAATAAAAGACGAAAATAAGCAAACACTTGCTCTGAATTTGAACGAGGCATTAATTGGAAGGACACGTCTACCTACACTCCTACAGGATCCAAGGAGGGTGCAAACCAACATTGAAGTATCAATGAGATTCATTTTTCGATACCGTCTATGTGTGTAGGTTGATTATGTAGATGGATGAGCTCGCCAATATGCCAAAAACTGAGAAGGCAGTTGTGCTAAAAGTGACTGAGCAACAAGAATCTCCCCACCTGCAAACGAAACTCAGATCAATCACTGTACATTTCTCACGATAACAAACAACAAAGCCTTGTTTTATATTTAACTTACTTTGCACTTCTCGCAATGGGACAAATTGGACTATATCGCGGGAAGCAACCTTGCCTTGAGAGTTTGCAAGTCTATCCCCTTTATCAGCATCTAAAATCTGAAACGGAGATATTGTGTCTATATATCAAGAAAAGTTTATAAAGCAAAAATACAGAGACACAGAACACCAGGCCCCTTTATCGAGAAAAACAAGTATAAAAACAAAGAATACCTCCATTTCCTTGAAGTCAGCCCCTCCAACCCCAACTATTAGAATTGACAATGGCAAATCTGAAGCCTCAACAATAGCATCCTTTGTTTCTTCTTGATCTGTTATAACTCCATCCTATAAAAATTTAACCACAACATAGAATTCAGACTATTAGAATCAGATATCCAAATGCTTCTACCAATTTGTCATCATAATCATTCAGTACTAAGAGGCATACTGTGATAATTAACAACACAAAGTATTTGCGCTCTTTTCTTGCTGCAGATTGTCTGGCTATTTGTGCTCCAGCATTTATTACTGGTCCAAATAAAGTTGGTCCAGCAAGTGACACATTGAAAAGGGCACTTCTATATGCCATCATTATTCCATGGATTCCTTCAACCTGATATATGAAACGGTTCATGTATGACATAACATAACTAAATAAATAAAGAGAACTTGAGAAGTTAAACATGAACAAATAAAGTGCCATAACCATATGATTTCCATGTAACAAAAGTTAACAAATATCTCCCATATGTTCTCGGCAAAACAAATTGTACCTCGCAGCAACTGTTGCTTCCATTCAAATTAAAACAATGTGAAACTGGGCCATCAATTGGCCTGGCTCCAAACCCCCATGCTGGAAAGTGCTTGTCAGCATCATAACATTGCAGTATTCCCCCAACTTCGGTAATGGACTGAAATTATAATTTGAAAATGTATATAGGCCAAGACAAATAAAATAAACTTCTAAATTTTAGTATCCTAAACATTTGGTTCTCACTCTTTGATATGCATTTGGGCGGCCAGAAGAATCGATATAGTGCAATGAATCAGGTAGGCGTGGATTTCCATTTGAAGCTGAGACAGAAAACATAGAAGGGTACGAATGACACGTGCAAAGAGATCTCGTGAAGCAACAGAACCAGGTTGAGGAATCCCCTAAATATGGTTCACTAAGTACACAAATATTTTTTCAATAATAAATACCCCCTGTCCCATAATTAGTCCTTTGCTCACAAATGTACACCTTTTAAATCCAAAATGTACATCTGAAAAACATTATAATGATTATATATGATGAAAATTTACCTTAATTTTCTAACAAAACTAACTACACACCCAAGAACAAGAAAAGTTGGGATCTTGAAGACTAGGTGTGATACACACACCCTACTACAAGAACAAGAGAAAAAGATGAAGATAAATGAAAACTCTACCAAGCTCTCTAGAAGACATTCCACCAAGAACGTTGAAAAAGAATCTTTGAGTAACACAACTCTTCCAAAAAAATTAACCACCAAATATTGATAATGAACTGTGAGTTTTGAAGAACTTCAGTTTTCATTATTAAAATTCAGCAACTGCTACAAAGAATAAAGGTCTAAAGCTTATGTACGGCCAGAAAATAGGAATAGGAGAAGCTAATCTTACCCCTATTACGATTAAGAAATACGGCTAGGATTGGGAATTTTAATAAACTCAAGATTAAGGAAAAAGGAAACTTTGCTAATCTTTTTACATGCCAAAAACAAAATAGAAATAGAATAAATAAAGGAAATAAACTTTAGGAAACATAAAAGTTGCCAAATATGGAACCTCAAAAATCATGATTCCTTTTATTCTTTTTCTTCAAGCCATCCACCTTTCACTTTCCATCTAGGGATAGAGTATCAAAATTTAGCTCCTCGTGTCTGAATTAACGTGTATGGCAGGTTCTTAGATGACTATCTTTCATAGATGGGGAGTTGGATGGGGATATTGCACATTGGGTTGGAGTAGCTTGGGCTAAGTGAAGGTTGGCTTGTGTGCGATAAGAAGATTTCAGCTATGATGAAAGTTAAGTTCTACCGGTCCGTAGTCAGACCAGCTATGTTGTATTGTGAGAAGTGTTGGGCAATTAAGAAAACTCACGTTCGTCAACTGCATGCGGCGGAGATGCGGATGCTGCGGTGGATGAGTGGCCAGATGAGGATGGATAGGATTCAGAACGAGGATATCCGAAGATGGGTAGATGTCGCTCTTATGGAAGATAAGTTTCAGGAAGCTAGGTTGAGGTGGTTTGGGCATGTGAGGCAGCGGAGTGCTGAAGCCCTGCACGGAGATGCGAGAAGCTTACGTAAGAGGGCGGGAGTAGGGGAAGAGGTAGACCTAGATAGAATTGGAAGGAGGAAATTAGTCATGACCTAAGACTTCTTGCCCTCACGAAGGATATGGTCATAGACAGAAGAGTTAGGAGAGCTAGTATTAGGGTAGTTAAGTAGGCGCCTCAAGCTAGGTGGTAATTTTTGCACTTGTGTGCTTTGTATGCTTTGTATGTTGGGTGCTCTGCTTGCAGTGCTTTTCATTCATTCACATTAGTTAGCTCTTTGCCTCTGTGTGGTTTGTGCTTTTTGTGCTCTATGTGTCCTATGTGATCTTATATTACCTGTGCTACTTGAGTCAAGGGTATCTTGGAAACAACCTCTCTACGTTCGAGTAGAACCAAGGTCTACACCCTCTTGAGGGAAATACAAAAATCATAATTTTAGATCATGATTTCAGCATCAAAACAGTAACATAGGTTGTTATTTCGGTAGAATTGCAGGGTCAGCTTGGAAAGGGTGCATCTCCTCAACCACAATGTTGAATTGTGTGAAATTAGCTACAAATTCGTGATAATGAAGTAACATTTTCACCAAACAATCTCATGAGAAAGGGATACAAATTACGTCCTTGGCAATGAAACTTTTGCCTCTAAATTTTTGGAAAACAGAACATTAGAATTTGCCCTCTTGCGTTGTTATTTTCTTTGGTGGCCTCTAGGGAATCGACAAGATTTAGGAAAGTCAAAAAAGGCAAAGCTTTGATACCTCTTAAAGCGAATAAAGAAGCTCAAGAAAAAGAAAAGATGGGATCATGAAGGACTTCATGTGCGATAGGCATACAGATAACAATTGCCACATTTGGAGGTCATGGAGTCCATGGACAAAGTGTTGCTACCCTACAGATGAGAACGAGCTGGGCTTCCGGAATCTCCTCATTGTGAGGGACTGCTTCCACCTTAAGCTCTAGTGGAAGACTTTTACCAATAAAAGCATCTAGGTGAACTTTAACAATAACCTCTCCTCCATGCATGATGCATCATTCTTGTCTCTGGCCTGCCCTTAGGGAGACCCATTCCGCCTTGTTGGCCCACCATTCTTTTCACATTGGCAGGGCTCTTTTTGGACCACGAATTGGAGTGGCCACGACGTTCTCTTAGATTACATTGACGTTCCTGCAGCTGTGGATCCTGAACTTTCCCTTCGTAATGCCTACATTGGCAACTCCGTTGACCTCTATATAGCTAGCCTCTTCGCTTCTGACGTCCGGGGGAACCTCTGCACAAGTCATATCCATTTCACCGACGAAGACAATGCCCCCGGAGGCCTGACCCTAATGGCCTTTTCACCAATACATCTGCTAACGAGACCATACATCCCAAGCTCACCAAATTCAATCTCATTCCAATCCTTTGGCCTAAAGGGCTTCCTAAGATTTCTTCATTGCTTTGGCAGGCCAGCAACAACCTCCACCTGCTGGGTGATAATATTCTTAAATTTAGTTCCACGGCCCTTTCAAATGGCCCTTCATCCCAGATAGTAATAGCATTCACCACCGGTGAAATTGGAAAACTACTCTAGACAACTCATTAAGGGTGGCAGGTGATCTTACCGTAATGCACATCATTTTCAATGTGAGAAGAAAAGATCAAAAATGAAATAACATAATACTTTATTTGTGGTGAACTGTACAGGATTCTTTGTGTTCTCTAAATATAAATAGAGAACAAACCAACACAACTTTAAGAAATTACCAGAACCCATCTTTTAGAAACTGCCTAACTGTTTTTTATTTTTACTTAATAAAATATGAAAGACACACTTATCGACTCCATACTAACCGACTCTATAGTAAGTGACCCGAACATTGACTCATTACCCATTCAGTTTTATGTGAACAAACCGGATCAAATTTAACAATCACGCCTGACACCCCTACTCGTTGTTTGTTCACACCTATCTTCAAAGCAATGTTGGTTCATCATCATCTTGAATCAAATTTGTAATGTTTTCCTTTTGATCCCATTTTGGACATTCGCCCACAAAATGCCCTAGCTTGTTGCACTTGAAACACTTAATGTGAGTCTTATCCCGCTGAAACCAACCACCACCATGACCTTTCCCGGACCCCCAACCTCTGCCTCGGCTTGAGCTCCCGCAACCACAATGCTCACATTTGTGCTCCTTAACCTTCTCTTTTCCATCACCTTTAGTCAATAGTAGTTAACCATGCATATCTCCTTGCTCAGATGGCTTTTTTATGTGTTCCTTGAATGCTTTCAATCTTCCAACCGCTTCTTGAAACCGCATTTGTTAATGTCGGAAAACTGTTCAATTGCAGCAACAATCTGAATGAATTTCTCTGGCACAGAACCCAAAAGCTTTCGAACAAATCTTGTCTTCAAATGCATACACAAGGTTGCTTGCTTGTGTTGCAAGTTGACTAATTTTACTAGCAAAATCATCAAGTGACTCATTGTTTTTCATCTTTAGAGACTCAAAATCTAATTCTAGTGTCTATAATCACGCCTCTTTAACCCTGCCAACGCCAACAAAGCGAGCCTTCAGAGCATCCCAAATTTCTTTAGCTTCGGTAAACTAAGCAACTTGTAACACGATCTCTTCCGGAAAAGCGTGAAACAGATATGTTGTTTCCATATTGTTTTTCTTAGGATCAATTTTTGTTCCTGGTTTGATTGCCTCCCAAATCCCATTAAGGTTGAAAATCATTTTTATCTTCACGGCCGAAATAGTGTAGTTTGTAGCAGTGAGAATTGGAACCTGAAAAGATAATGAACTATTCTCCCTTGTAGTCACAATCTGTCTGTTTGGGTTGTCTTCCACTGCACGACTTAAATTCCTTCGACAATTTTCACAAAATTATTTCTCAAAATTATTAGACTTTGATTCCTTCCTGAGTCTTAAGCCACCCGCAATCAACCATCAACCAGAAAACAAGCCCCTTGCTTTTCCGTCATCCAAACCGCTAGACGAAAGCTACCCCGCTGATTTGTTTATCCCGTGCTTTTTGGTTTTCTGCCGAAGAAAAAACTAGCCACTTGTTATTGTCCTAGGCGAGGAAGAATGTGGTCGAAGATTCTTGATCTGTTGTCGAGGCTCGAGGAAGCCTCTAACGCTTTGTTTTATGAGCTGGCAGATCCCTTCTGCTCCCGATCACACACACACCCTTATTGCAAACTTGACCGCTCTGATACCAATTGTGAGAAGAAAAGATCAAAAATGAAAGAACATAACACTTTATTTGTGGGGAGCTGTACAGGACTCTTTGTGTTCTATAAATATAAATAAAGAACAAACCAACACAACTTTTACAAACCAACAACTTTTACAAACCAACACAACTTTAAGAAACTACCAGGACCTATCTTTTAGAAACTGCCTAAAAGTTTTTTATTTTCAATTAGCTAAATTTGAAAGACACACTAACCGACTCCATACTAACCGACTCTATACTAACTGACCCGAACATTGACCCATTACCCATTCAGTTATATGTGAACAAACCTGACCAAATCTAATATTCAAGAGCGACAATCCTGATTTAGCCACCATTATGAACTGTCAAATCCAGTGGCTTTGGTGTACGCCTTCCTAGTTGTACCTCCTTTTGTTTCTTAAGGGTGTGTTTGGATTGAGGTAGGTGGAGTTAGGGTGAGGTTAAGTTTACTATGCTACCTTGTTTGGGAAAAAAACTGAGATAGGTAAGAGGAGGTGGAGTGAGGTAATTAACCTCTTAACAGTGTTAAATGGGCTACCGCCGAATTGGCGATAAACCTAGGTAAGCTGCCCTTCTCTTTTTCTTTCTGGTTCTTTCTTCGACTCTCATGCAGGCATCTTCTTCCTCTGTTTTTTATCCGGCGTCTTCTTCATCTCCCAGACGCAGGCGTCCTCTTCCTCTATTTTATTATCCGGCGTCTTCTCTCTCTGTTTTTTATTTGCGTTTTTTTTCAGGTTTTTTTTTGCAGTTTTTTTATGTTTGTGGTCTGTTTTTTTTTCTTTTTTGCTGTTTTTGTTTTCTTTTTTTCGTTTTTTTGCTTTTGGTTTTTGATGTTTTTTCTATTTATTGAAATATGCTATTTTTTTACCTTTTTGTTGTTTGCTATTTTATATCCTGGTTTTTTACCCTGTTTTTTTGTGTTAAATTTTTAGGTTCAGATTAAAATTAATTGTGCTAAATTATGATTTGACGGATGTCACTTTAAGAAACGAATAAAAAAATCATACACAAGGGTATTTAAGTAATTTTATTTCTATAAATATCCAAACACAATTTTTTCTACTTAGTACCTTACTTTACCTACCTTCAATTACCTACCTAAAAAAACATAACCTACCCTAAGAGAATTTCCTTTAAGAAAATATGTGGAATAGTTATTGCCCTATGTCTGAAACTGAGTATGTGTAATATAATGATACGATGAAAGATCCCGCACAAAAAGCTAAATCAAAAAGCTAATATAACGGTACTAGTCTTAATTGAATGATCTTTGAGACTTTGTAGTTTAAATTATTGGAATGGATATTAAACTCTTCCTTTGAATTAATATTAGAAATTAGCAACTGGTGAGTTCTTTTTTGAGTTTGCTTCTTTTGACATTAGGGCCAACTCTCATAAGATGACATTGGCTTGATCGAGGCACCTACGATCTCCTGTTCGTAATATTGATGATTCCTACCCCCTAACCCCCGAATAAACCCCCCACCCTGGGCTGACCTGAATTGATTCCCCACCCCCTTCAATTGCACCCCCCCAAATTTTAGACCTGGCAAAACTAACCCGAACCTGATAACCCAAACCGAATAACCCGAAACCGAACCCGATTTGACCCAAAAATTGAAGAACCTAAATAAAACCGAATACCCGAAATGATCCGAACCGAACCCGAACCGAATGTATTCAGACCCGATTCAGATCCGAATCCGATTTAACCCGAACCGATAAAACTCGAACCCGGTTAAACCTGGAACCGATTAGATCCGAAATTGATTAAATTTTATGTACGTCAGTGTTAAATAAGAAAATAACTACAGAGTATATCATAAATTAATTAAATTTATTATGTGATATTATTGATTTATTAGTAAATATTTAAAATATATCTGAACTAATATAAACCTAAATCGATACAAACCTAAATCGATATAAACTCGAACCGATGCAAACCCGAACCGATACAAACCCGAACCAAAACCGAATTGAACCCAAAAACCAATCAAACCAAAATAAACCCAGAACCGAACTGACCCGAACCAACCCGACCCGAACCGATTATAACATATATTCGAATGAGACCCGAACCGAAAAGACCGGAATCGAACTGATTGACCCGATTGCCAGGTCTACCAAATTTAGTTGGCTTTGGGGACAAACTTTTGACCCCAAAGTCAACTAAATTTGGGGGTCCAATTGAAGGGAATGGGGAGGTCGGTTCGGCCTGGGAGAGGGGGTTTACCCTTGGGGGGAGGGGGGGTAGGGGATAAGAACCATCAATTTTACGAACACCACACTGTAGGTGCCCAAGTAGAGCCAATGTCATATTATGACATGGGCTTCCAATGTCAGAAGAAGGGAGCTCTTGTTTTTAAAAATTTTATAATATACACATTGTATTTAAATACTACTTATTACATAAGGCAACTTGTTGCCTAAGCAACAAGACAGCTCACTGGAGCTGCACCTATCCGCCATGGTACACCAAAATATATTGCAACCATATTATGAAGGGGCATATAAAAAAGCATCTAACATATTTCAAGATCCAAGGCTACCTACCACCCATCCCCAAAAAAATATTAAATCCACGACTGCCAGAAACTAACCACTATTTTTGCATAAAAGTGAATTACAAAATTACAACTATGATTTGTCAACGCCTCAATAAGTATCACCATTATAGGAATTGCATAGTACATTTTCATTAGGACAATTCATAGTTTTCTTAATAATTAAAATAAAAAAAATCTTTAAAGATTGAAAATAACTTCACTAAATCCCTTCCTCACTTATATCATAGATTGAACCAATACTTACACTCCACTGCCCATACCCAAGGAAAAAAACAAATCTTGGTTCTACCATTAGTTGTGCATACCAATTCCCCTACAGACATTTGAAGTATTTTTCATAACTTAAAAAGTAGCAATAGATTTGCAAATATATCTCTGCATGAATGCAAACATACCAGTAAAATCAACAGCCACCATGAAGTTAAGCTCATAACCTGAAGCCAAGTAATCAAGGAATGTATGCTGGATTTTCTCAGTGAACTTTTCAACAAACATTTGACTCTTTAAAACCTAAACTTATGAGAATGAGCACATTTAGTTGCGAAGAAGTTGGAAATTAAACAAATTAATCTACTTCAATATTTACCTTTGTTTGATGAGGTGGCCCAATACCAGTTTGTACAAAAAAATTTATCCCGGATCCAGAAACATGTAATTTTTCTAAATCTGCAAGTGATTTCTGAACCTTTCTGAGCATGCAGAAGGAGAAATATGAGATTTTGTACTTGTCTAGGTGTAGCAAATATACCATGAAAAAAGATATATGCTGCTTTACCCAAGCAAATCGTGTTTTCCATTGCTATTGAAGTTGAAACATTCAACCATCAATGGGATCTCCTGCATGATAGGAAAGGGAGTAAATTGAAGAGCTAGTTCTAATTTAAAATAAAGCTACACGGCAAATATCTGTTCTCAAAATAAATAATTGGTCAGCCTCCAGGTACCAATAAACCTTATCCTTAATCAGGAAAAGGGCAGTGTTTTTTTAATTCACACACACAAGAGGATCCATACCCACCCACCCCCCCCCCCCCCACTTGAAATAGTGTATGGAACTCAGTCACAACTTATTGGATGTGTAGGTGGATGAAAAAATCTACCTGAACTATGCCTCCTTGTATAGTACTCGTAGTATACAAGGACTTAAACATCAAGAAATAATCCTCCACTTCCTACATCTAATATTTTCATAATGGATAACAGCTGCCATCATGTTTTTTTTTGAGGAAAACATGGGGCTTTTTCTTTTATCTTCTCCAGACAGGTGTTTGTCTCAATAATCTAACACCACGCTGAGTGAAACATCCCGGCAACTCTTCACACACCCAATGCCGGAAGCTCTGCCATTCACCACTTTTGTTGGACAAGGACTTCAACTGTTTGCTGCTAGATCAAGTTTTCGCGAGCTCCAATAATCTCACTGTCTTCATGGCATGTATGATGTATCCTCTCTGGCAAAACCTTATCTAGAGATCCCAGTCACTTCCATCACTGCCACGTGTGAAGTGCCAAGAGAAGCATTTTTCTATAACAAAACCCATGTTTTATATTGTAGATCCTAGTTCTCATGGCTTCATCAAACCAACAACTACAACTACAAACCCAATATAATCTCATCGCCATTGAGGTTTAGTGGGTCATGATGTATTCAACCTTACCCCTATAAATCTAAGTCTCTTTCAGCTAGAGTGCTAGACCCTTGATGCAAAGAATGCGCTTACTGCACAAAACTTCATCGAAAGTAAGAAGCAAAGAAAGTTTAATGTGCCATTTTTAATTTAGTGCATTATTTAGTTCCAGGGCTTCATAAACCCCCTACACTTAAATTTTTTTATCAGCATTACTTTGGATAAACTGGTCAAGAGTCATAATTTCACATTGTTAGAATATAAAAAACCTTTCCTGGGCCACAAGTTTCCATCATCTCCGATGGAGCCAAAATTTCACCATTTTTTGGCTTTGGGGTGTGATGGAATAAATCAAAATGGATCTCTAAACTGTCTACGCTTTTTTAATTAATGAAGTAGCAGTTAGTCAAGCAGTGCAACTTTCGACGTTGAGTCGGGGGTCTCTTTGGAAACAGCCTCTCTACTTTCGAGTAGGGGTAAGGTCTGCGTACACACACCCTCCCTAGACCCTACTCTTGTGGGATTTAACTGGGTTGTTGTTGTTGTTGTTGTTGTTTTCCTGGGCCACAACCACAAGCTTGAGCTTTTGGATGAATTGGTTCCTTGACATGGTATTGGAGCCTTGTTGACTAAGAGGTCACAGGTTCGAAACTTCACGTCATCTAGTTTTAAAAAATTTAAGGTTTCACGTGCAAGGCTCTAAAAAGACTATGCCTGCACGTGAGGGGGCGTGTTAGAATATAAAAAACTTTTCTTGGGCCACAACTACAAGCTTGAGCTTTTGGTTGAATTGGTTCCTTGACACACATTATGTGTTTCAAAGGTCATAATGTACAATCATTTGATTCACATGGTAGATGAAATAATTTTTAGAAACCAAGTGGGAACAAGCTGATTATCTCTTGTGCATTACACTGGCAAGTCATTGGTACCAAACTGTGTAGTTTTAAGAAAATTGTGGTTGAAAGCTACACACTCTACACTAATGCTAACCAATGCCTTTACAATGTTGTCAATGCAATTGAAAATCTAAACCAGCTGGACCAAGACATAAGAAAATCATGAACGAGCTGGATCTGTAAAAGAGTCTCAATATCCTTATCCCAGTTAAATGTATACATAATCAGCTGGCACAACGAGACAAATTTATCATGGTGCCTCAAATGCTTACATTTGTAACAAGTTTGGCAGATATAATGTACTCCCTCCGTCCCAGTACATAGTTAAAAAAACAAAAAACTACAGAGTTTAAGAAGGATGATAGTGACCTTTGATATAACCAAAAAGAAAAAGGGAATAGTGATTGAAAAGTGGTAGTGTGAGTATAAAGTAGAAGCGAAAAAGAGGGTGGTTTAAATCTGGGGATGGAGCATCAGTTTAATGTGATATAAAGTAGAAGCAAAAATGTAAACATTATGTATTTGATAATCAGAGGTTTTCCTCATAATTCATAATTACATAATACAAAATGACTATATATACATAAGAAGGGTGCTAATATAAGGAAACTAAATCTCCCATATTAATGCCTAAATCACCCATATTAATGGCCAAATCAGAGCCTGCCATATTCTCAGGACTTAACTAAAATACTAATATTATTATTAATAACACTCCCCCTCAAGCTGGAGCATATATATTTATCATGCCCAACTTGTTACATAAATACATAAGCCTGGTGCCATTTAGCGCTTTAGTAAGGAGATCTGCTAATTGATCTCCTGCCTTCACAAATCCAGTAGAAATCAATCCCTTCTGTATTTTCTCCCGAACAAAGTGACAATCTACTTCGATATGTTTCGTCCTTTCGTGAAAAACTGGTTTGGATGCAAAATGAAGAGCAGCTTGGTTATCACCCCATAGTTTCGCAGGGATGGGAGCTTTGAAACCAGTTTCATTCAGGAGGNGGAGTTCCTTTCAAGTAACACAGAATATGTTCCACTGCAGCCCAATGATCAATTGTTGGGGATGCCATAAACTGACTTACAACGCTAACCGGATAAGCAATGTCTGGGCGGGTCACAACCAAGTAGTTCAGTTTACCCACTAATCTCCTGTATCTCTCTGGATCACTGAATGATTCACCGTCTTTCGTTAATTGTATGTTAGGAACCATAGGTGTATAACATGGTTTGGATGCGAGCTTTCCTGTCTCAGACAACAAATCAAGCACATACTTCCTCTGTGCAAGCAATATACCTTTCTTGCTTCGCAAAACTTCAACCCCTAGAAAATACTTCAGCGGTCCAAGATCCTTCGCCTGAAACTGACTATGGACAAATGTCTTGAGTGATGAAATACCTGCAAAATCATTTCCTGTAATAATGATGCCATCTACGTAAACAACCAGTAAGATGATTCCACCCCTAGATCGCTTATAAAGACAGAATGATCAGATTGGCCTTTCACCATTCCAAACCGCTCGATTACTTGGCTGAATTTTCCATATCATGCACGAGGACTTTGTTTTAGTCCGTATAAAGATTTATGCAGCCGACATACCTTCCCATTCTCCCCCTGAGCAACAAACCCTGGAGGTTGCTCCATATAAACCTCTTCCTCAAGAGCACCATGAAGAAACGCATTTTTGATATCTAAATGATGCAACGGCCAATCATGACACGCAGCCATAGAGATGACAAAGCGAACAGAAGTGAGCTTGGCAAGTGGAGAGAAAGTCTCATCATAATCCACACCATAGGTTTGAGCATATCCTTTGGCCACTAATCGAGCTTTGAGGTGAGCGATTAACCTTAATAGAGAAGACCCACTTGTAACCAATAGATTTCTTGTCAATCAGCAATGAAACTAGACTCCAAGTATGATTTTGCTCCAAGGCTTTCATCTCTTCTATCATGGCAGTACGCCATCCAGGATGAGAGAGTGCTTCTCTGATAGTTTTAGGAAGAGGGACAGAATCTAAAGAAGAGGTGAGTGCACAAGCAGTAGAAGACAAATGATCATAAGAGACAATTAGAAATAGGGTAGGTGCAAGACCGCTTACCTTTGCGCAAAGCGATGGGTAGATCATCAGCATGATCAGGGTCCAACGACAAGTGCTCAACTCAGGGCGTGAGACTGGTGTAGGGGTAGGTGGTTGATCAGTCAATGTGGCGTGGCAGGAAGAGATTCAAATGTGGCAGGAAGAGATTCAGGGACAACTGAAGGTGCAACTGGTTTTTTTCTGCGGGAGTAAACCTGAATGATGAGAGGCACACCAGTAGAGGGCATTGTAGCACTAGAGGTAGTGTAAAATAAAATGTCACCAGAACCCTCCCCCCCATTTACAGAATCTATAGGTGAAGAAAAAGGAACATGCTCATGGAAACTCACATCGATGGAGACAAGATATCGACCAAGACTAGGACAATAACAACGATATCCCATTTGAACCCGGGAGTACCCCAAAAAGATGCACTTCAAGGATTTTGGATCTAGCTTAGTGACAGATGGACGAACATCCCTTACAAAACATGTACACCCAAAATATGAAATGGTGGCTGGCCACCAAGGACACTCGATGGAAGGCGATTAATCAAGAAACATGTCGTGGCAACGGCATAAGCCCAAAACATCTTGGACACTTTTGATTGAAACAAGAGTGCCCGTGCAGTTTCAAGCAGATGTCGATTTTTGCGTTCAGCTACTCCATTTTGGGCTGGAGTATCCACACACGACGTTTGGTGGAGAATGCCATGGCCACGCATGTAGGCTTGGAAGGGGCTGGAAAGATATTCTTTAGCATTATCACTACGCATAATTTTAAGAGGCATATTAAATTGCAGAAAATTACTCACGGGTGACGCAAGTTTTGTCGAAATAACTCTCAGGTCCCTCTATTTTCAAGAAGACCACAGAAGTCCTTACATTTTGTTGTAATGACTGGGAGGGGACATTCAACCCAATATTTCATCCATAAACGTAAATAAATGTATTTTTTTCCTATTTTTTTCTAAATGTTTTAAGGTAATAAATCTTAGGTCACTTCTTTTTTTATTTCTTTGTTTTTCTTTTTTTTACTCTTTTTTAAAGTGTTATTTTAGAATTTTTTCTATAAAATTGAATAAAAATTCAAAATTGTTTGTATTATATTAAAATAAATGAAATAAAATATTTTGTAAAAAAGAAAAAATCGAGTAATGGCAAAATAGGAAAAAACGGTAATGGAAAAATAGGAAAAAAATACATTTATTAACATTTATGGATGAA